TCCCACTCCCCCTGCTTGTGTTTCTGCTCTCGCTATCTCTGTCAAATAAATAAATAAAATCTTAAAAAAAAAAAAAAAAAGTTGTAGATATTATACTTTTTTATCCCTAGACAGGAATCAGCCTGTATTCTTAAGAACAAAGATGTTCTCTTACATAATCAAAGTAAGGAAACTTAATACTGCTATATAGTCCATACTCAAATTTTGCCAATTGTCACAGTAAGGTCCTTTATGGCGATAGCTTTTGCTTCTTTGAACATCCCCTGAGCACTGTTCTGCTTCCTAAAAGTCACCAATATTCTTTCAAACAGAATAAAAGCTATTTGAAAATAGCAATCCAGGTTTCTTTGAGCCTTCTTTTTTGTAAATTACATGTATCTTATTTAACCTTACTTACACCACATGACTGAAGAACCTTCCTCCATCTGGGCCATTTCTTGGGGACTTACTTATTAATTGCTGTTTAAAATGCAGCACCCAGGGGCGCCTGGGTGGCTCAGTTGGTTAAGCGACTACCTTCGGCTCAGGTCATGATCCTGGAGTCCCGGGATCGAGTCCCGCATCGGGCTACCTGCTCAGCAGGGAGTCTGCTTCTCCCTCTCCCACTCCCCACTCTTGTGCTCTCTCTCTCACTCTCTCTCTCAAATAAATAAATAAAAATAAAAATAAAATAAAATAAAATGCAGCACCCAGCACCAGACCTAATATTTTAAATGTGGGCTTAACACACACAGAGTACAATGGAACTACTTTCTATTTGGACATTACAATTCTGTTATTAGAGCTAGTTTAATTATATAAGGCCATTTCTCACAATTTATACTGAGTGTGCAGTGGATTTTTCTGAACCTATGCAGGACTTTAACTCCAACCCTACTGGTTGTACATTATTACACCAATACTTTTAAGCTATTAGATCCTTTGATTATGGACTGTTATCTGATGTATTAGTTCCATCATCCAAAATAACAATAATGGCTACTATTTACTGAGAATCTATACTAGGTACCTTTTCTAAGTGCTTACATATACTATTTCATTTTATCTTTACAACCATGCAGTGATACCAGCATTTTTATCCTCCCAACAGCAGAGAAGTCTCCGAGCAGACAAGTTAATTTGCCAAAGGTCACCAGTTAATAGGAGGCAGGGCAAGAAACAGAGACCCAGGTCTAGCTGACTCCAGTGATAGCTGTCTTTTAGCAGGAAAGGGCTAAGAAACCTCAAGGCAAGGCACTAAAAACAGACATTCAAAATTTAAGAGTTTTATCTGGACATCAAAAATTCCCTCAAAGGCTTGCCTAGTTAATACTAAAGTGAATGCCTTTTGCGGCTTACTTTCATACTTTCAGTCCAGGGAAGTCTGTGAACACATTAAAGATATAGCAAATTGTGTAAGTTCTTTACCTTATCAAGAGTAAACAGATCAAGAAGTTGATCTGTCCCCATACTCTGCAAACTAGAATTCTCTTGGCTAATAACAGTATTTGCTATGTTCATCTTGAATTTCTGCAAACCCATTATTTTCTCTTCCAACGTTCCTCTGGTTATCAATCGGTACACGTTAACCACACGTTTCTGAAGGACAAAAAGAAGTTAAACAACTGTAGCACAAACTGATAAGCTTTGAGGTTCACCAAGTCAGGGGGCTTGCATACTAGAACTAAGTACTTAACTACTATCTAATTAGGATTGGATTTTATTTATCTGGCTTCATGAGCTTAAAATTTTATCATTTTGCAGAGAATTAAGTATTAGGAAGGGACAGTGTCCAAGGTTTCCTTAGCCCAAGTACCTTATTTAATGCATGAGGAAGTGGTGCCACAGACTGGATGACTTGCCTAAGGTCACAACACTTGGCATCAGAGAAGGAACTTAAGCCAAGGCTTCCTGGCTTTGCTGGGTGAGTATTTTGCCCAGGGTACAAGTTAACACCTGTGAGTGATGACTTTTTACCTGCCCAATGCGATGGGCCCGGTCCATGGCTTGTAGATCGCGCATAGGATTCCAGTCGTGTTCCACAAATACTACTGTGTCAGCGCCTGTTAAGTTAAGCCCCAGGCCGCCAACATGAGTTGTAAGTAAAAGAACATCTATGGATGGATCATTGTTAAACCTAAAAGTATAGATATTAAAAAAAGTTAGTACAAACTGGACTGTTTAATAAAAATTAAAGAGCACAAATGAGAACACTGCTTTAAAAATCTATGATGTGGGGGAGGTGCCTGGGTGGCTCAGGCGGTTAAGTGCCCAACTCTTGGTTTTGGCTCAGGTCATGATCTCAGGGTCATGAGATCAAGCCCCACGTTGGGCTCCACGCTCGGCAGGAGTCTACTTGAAATTCTCTCTCTCCCTCTGCCCCTCCTCTCATTTGCAGGCTCACTCACTCTCTCAAATAATCTTAAAAAAAAATCTATGACATGGGGATACCTGGCTGGGGAAGTCAGTAGAGCATGTGACTCTTGATCTAAGGGTTGTAAGTTCAAGCCTCACACTGGGCATAGAGCTTACTTAAAAAAAAAAAATGATGTGTACATTTCTGTGACCACTTGAGATGAAACCTTCTTTTAATATGCATACATATTCAGTAATAAAAGGAATATATTCTAGAACACTTCAGAAATTTCACAAACAACAATAAGTCAACTGGGTTATATTTTAGGATGCCAGATTAAGACTAACTTGCAAAAATGTAATTACACACTAATGAAGACAGGGGCCCCTGGGCGGCTCAGTCATTAAGCATCTGCCTTTGGCTCAGGTCATGATCCCGGGGTCCTGGGATCGAGCCCTGCATCGGGCGTCCTGCTCCACGGGAAGCCTGCTTCTCCCTCTCCCACTCCCCCCGCTTGTGTTCCCTCTCTCACTGTGTCTCTCTGTGTGTCAAATAATAAAATAAAAAAAATAAAAATAAAAAAAATAAACACTAATGAAGACAAAACCCAACTATGAACCTTTAACATGTGGAGACAGAAGAGTTGGGGGAAAGGCTAGATCAATCAGGAAAATTAGAGGATGAGGTGGTTGCTATGATTGTGCTAATCCTAGAAGATACTGATAGAAGTTCTGACATCTAAGAGCTTCTAGGAAAAAGAAAAACTAACATCATTACCAAGCTACCATTTATTACATTCTCACTGTGAATCAAACGATGGGCTTTTGTACTTTATGTGCATTACATTGTTACAATAGCTCTATAAGGATATTATCATTGTCCTTATAGATATTATTATTTTTGATAAATGGGCTCAACAGAACATGTCTAGAGTCAGAAGTCAAGCCTGGGTTTGTGTATCTCCAAAGCCCCTTGTGAGTCTCCAATACTATTGTGCCTAACAATCTCTTAGAGATGCTTGTAAAAAATGCTCACTCTTAAAGTCAGAAGGTCTGGGACAAAACCTAGGAATCTGCATTTAAAAACCCAACCCCTGAGGTTTCTAAAGTAGAGAATGCAAACCACACTTAAACACTGCACTCACCAATTCTGCTTCCTATCTGGGCCAGCTTCCAACTTGTTCTCAGCAGAGACACAGGGATGTTAGAGATCTTAGCTAAGCCACTTGTTTGCTTCCTCCTACCCTAACCTCCCAAAAAAAGTAAGGGGGAAAGTCATTGTCTCTATCTTTTGTTGATGCCTTAAATTTCTTCCCTGCCCTTCAGAGTGCCTTCCTAATAATGTCATGCCCTTTTTTTTTTTTTTTTAACCAAAACTATTCAATTGTATTTTTGGAGTTCTGTATTTTAAAATGGGTTTAGTTGGGTTGAATTATACAATAACAACACATGTGTAGATATTTAGCCAAAGAAAATGTTTCATGAGGCAAACTTCTATGTAAGTAATAACTGACTATAGCTTGCTTTCTAAGAGTTTTAGAAGCCACTTACCGTGAAACAATGGAATGCCTCTGACCAGGAGGTATGCTGCCATCTAATCTCAGATAAGTGACAGAGGGTAAGTGAGGTTTGAGAAGATCATGTTCCACTATATCAAGCATGCTTTTAAGCTGACAGAAGATCAGTATCCTGTGCTGGGCCACAACAGACTCTGTGCCACTCTCTGAAGTGCTGCCATTTCCCAAACCACAGTCCAACAGCAACTTGAAAAAAGAATCAACTGTTACACAGGTGTTCAATAAAGTGGCAACCAATCTCACTGTGACAAATACTTCTCCTTGTGGTAAGAAAAGGTTAAGCTTATCTGTCACCTGGGAAGCAGATCAGCACTCTGGGCTGTAATCTGTTACCCTGCAGCCTCTTGAACTAGTTTTTGAGGTGTTCAGGCTTCGAATTTCCTGATCACCTCCTTCAGGAAGTTCTCTAATAGGCCCTTCTCCCCTGTCCTGAGTTACTTGAGGCTCAGTAGAGTCTCAATAAATGTTTACTGAAAATGAAGATCTCTTTCAGGCAAAATGGTTCATGAAAGTTATAAGAGAACACAGTCGGGGGGAGGAGCAAGATAGCAGAGGAGTAGGCAACCTAAATTTCGTCTGGTCCCAGGAATTCAGCTAGATAGTTATCAAACCATTCTGAACACCTGTGAACTCAACAGGAGATTAAAGAAAAAAATAGCATCCGAGGCAATATTTAGGAAGACAGACCGTGGGGGGAGGAAGCCTCCATCAGCCAGCTACCGGCAAGTAATAGAGCAGCTGAGCACAAAATCGGAACTTTTAGAAGTCTGCTCCACTGAGGGATGTCGCTCCAGTGGCTAAGTGGGGGGTGTGAATCCCTCACTGGGACAGTGGGTCTCAGGACCCTCGGGGTCACAGAAAGACCAGGGGTGCCTGAGTGCAGCAGAGCTCCCAGGTATCAGCGCAGGGAAGCCGGCTGCAGAGACTGAGCTGAGGAGTGGGCTCTCAGCTCGGGGTTGCCATAAACCGTGATCCACCGCACAGTCGGGCCACTGCTCTTCCAGCAGGGACCCAACAAGCGGCAGATCCAGGGAGAACCCCCTTCCTCCCCCGGGGAGGAGTGGCACGGGAGCGCATCGCAGGAAATCTGCTGGGTTTGGAGACTCCAAACGGGGTTGTGTGCCAGAGACAGAAATGCTCGGTCACAGGCCAGGTGATCACAGAGGGTGACGGGAGACCAGGGAGACAGGAGTGACTGACTGCTTTTCTCTGAGGGCTCACTGAGGAGTGGGGTCCCGAGCTCTTGGCGCCTCTGGGGACAGAGATTGGGAGGCCACCATTTTTACTCTCATCCTCCAAAGCTGTACAGAAAGCTTTCAGGGAACAAAAGCTACTGAGAGCAAACCCAAGCAGATCACTTAGCCTGGCCCCTGGCTAGGGTGGAGAAATTCCGCTTCGGGTAAAGACATTTGAGAATCACTGCAACAGGCCCCTCCCCCAGAAGATCAGCCAGAACAGCCAGCCAAAGCCAAGGTTACCGATCAATGAGAACTGCAGAACTCCAGCGCTAGGGGACTACTGCACATAGAATTCACGGCTTTTTTACCACGATTCTTTAGTCTTTTGAAGTTAATTTTTTAATTTTCTTTTTCTATTTTTTTAAAAAATTTTTCTTTTTCAATCAATTCCTTTTTAAAAATTTTTTAATATTCACTTTTACACTCATATTCTATTCCTTCATTGTATTTAACCTTATTTTTTTTTCTTTCTTTAAAATTTTGAGATATAGTTTCTTCTAACAGAGCAATATATACCCTAAATCTAGTGTACGGCTTTGTTCTAGTCTCCTGCCTGATCACATTCTTTTTTTAAAAATTTTTTTTTTCAACAATTTCTTATCAATTCCTTTTTAAAAATCGTTTTTTTCATCTTACACTCCTATTCCATCCCTTCATTGTATTTACCCTTATTTTTGTATATATATAAGTTTTTCTTTCTTTAAAATTTTGGGAGGCAGTCGCTTCTAACAGAACAAAATACACCCAAAATCTAGTGTGTGTGGCTCTGTTCTATTCACCAGCCTGATCATATTGTTTTTTTTTTTCCCTTTCTTTTCTTTTCCTTTCTTTTCCCCCGGTTTCAGGTCTCTTCTGATTTATTTAGTATATATTTTTCTGGGGTTGTTGTTACCCTGTTAGCATTTTGTTCTCTCATTCATCTATTCTTCTCTGGACAAAATGACAAAATGGAAAAACTCACCTCAAAAAAAAGAACAAGAGGCAGTACCGACTGCCAGAGACCTAATCAATATGGACACTAGTAAGATGTCGGAACTAGAGCTCAGAATGATGATTATAAAGATACTAGCTGGGCTTGAAAAAAACATAGAAGATACTAGAGAATCCTTTTCTGGAGAAATGAACTAAAATCTAAACAAGTCAAAATCAAAAAGGCTATTAATGAGGTGCAATAAAAAATGGAGGCTCTAACTGCTAGGATAAATGAGGTAGAAGAGAGAATTAGTGATATAGAAGACCAAATGATGGAGAACAAAGAAGCTGAGAAAGATAAACAACTACTGGATCATGAGGGGAGAATCGAGAAATAAGTGATACCATAAGATGAAACAACATTAGAATAATTGGGATCCCAGAAGGAGAAACAGAGAAATCCAGAAATCCAGAAGACACAGAGAACCCCCTCAAAAGCAGTAAAAATAGGTCAACACCCTGACATCTAATAGTAAAACTCACAAGTCTCAGAGACAAAGAGAAAATCCTGAAAGCAGCTCAGGACAAGAGATCTGTAACCTACAATGGTAGAAACATTAGACTGGCAGCAGACCTATCCACAGAGACCTGGCAGGCCAGAAAGGACTGGCATGATATATTCAGAGCACTAAATGGAAAAATATGCAGCCAAGAATACTATATCCAGTCACTGAAAATAGAAGGAGAAATGAAGTTTCCAGGACAAACAAAAACTAAAAGAATTTATGAACACCAAACCAGCCCTACAAGAAATACTGAAAGGGGTCCCTCTAAGCAAAGAGAGAACCTAAAAATCACAGACAAGAAAGGAACAGAGACAATATACAGTAACAGTCACCTTACAGGCAATACAATGGCACTAAATTC